TTGACATCGCACGGTGACAGTTTTGTAAATTATTGAAATAATAGCGAAATACACTCATTTGCTAACGAATTTGGTTTTGCGAGAGACTCACCTGGAACCCAGCTGAATCACTCGTTTGTGATGTTTCCAGGCAAATGAATGTGCTACACCAGGTCGCCTCATGTTTCAGCCGCTACGATATTCCAGAAACCACGATACATGTATATTTGTAATGCATTACTCATAAGATTGCTGAAAATCCGTCGACAATAAAAAAGTATACATTCGCCTTAGCAAACAAGCTCATTTTTGATTGTTTGCAAGTCCAAATATTTGTAGAAAAAAGTGAATAACTGCCAATTTTTAGATAAAGCAAAGCGCAAATTGCAGCTAACATTGAAGAAGTTACCGTAACTTTTAAAGGTACTTTCGAATTCGTTGGTATTGTGCGATTTATTGGATTCTTTGAGCATCTCGGCGTGTGTTCTTCCTCACCAAGAAAAGATTCTGAATGATGCTACTCTTCCGTCCTTTTTCAGTTGAATGATTTGGCCTAGTTAAAACATGTCTAGGCGTGTGCTACTGAGGCCCAAATTGCTAAGATACGGTGCACAGAACGGTTACCCTGGGTGGGACACGGAAAATGTGCCTCCGACTAATAGACACTCAGCATAACCACAACCACACAGTTTGTTACCATTGCATGGCTCGAACAGGCCTTCTGTCAAAAAGCCCTTTATGCTATCAGTCATTTCAGAATAAGGGAACTTATGTCATATAGCGTACGTTACTTTGGATGTGACGGTTGGATTACTCCTGTGTTTCATCGAAAAGAATGCCACTTCTGATTGGTCAGTGGTGTGTGCATTATTCAGTCTTGGTATTGACTTACACCAAATAATGCTGAAAAACACTCACTGTGAGTTCCACCACTGAATGACAATAAGAGTATACATATTCTCAAATGGGCAAAGAATCGCATCGACTGACCAACTATGTACCATTCTGTTTTATCCAAAGCCATCGCTTCAAAACTTTTGGATTGGGTGAAATAACCTGAGTCAACCTAATGGTGAGTGCTGTAGTGATGTGATGTTAATTGGTGGGGTGAATATTTGGGAGGTTGAAAAAACTCATTTTAGCTCTTTGTTGATGAGGCAGAAAGTTTAAAACATTTCAAGTCGAGGAAAGTAACCGCAGTGAAGTGCTCGTATGAGGCTGCTAACGTAAACTATGGTAATTAATAGGTTTTTGAACTGGAGGATGATGATAGATAAGCAGTCTCATAAAATGTGACCCAGTAAATCGGTTGTGAATAAGATTTTCAGGAACAAAATTGAAATTCACTGCTTAACAACAAAAGGAATCTTGATCGCTGTGCACAGTAATTCCTATCACAGTTTAGTTAGAAATCCGCCACTGTGGCTACAACGTACATTCGTCTCGCTCGAATCAGATTGTAGCAGATGTGCGCCTCTCATCGGATTCCGGAGTCCTAGTTCACATTTTAGTCTGTAAAGGTGGATAAGGACCGGAAGAACGGACGCTTAAATTTACATTTACGACGGTCGTCTTTTGTGACAGCATAAGTTGGCTTCATTGATGTTCCGTGCTGTTGGTGCCGACGTGTGGATGTCATAAGCTTGGTTCTCAGAGTTAGATCCCTACCTCATTCCAGCAGTGTACACCGTTTGCTAGGTGGGGACTGATTACTAGCAAATCTAACTTGACGGTGCCAAAACAAGTTTCTAGTTATCTTAAGGCGTCATCTTGACACGGGCATGCAGGATCTAGTGTAAATTTATAATTTAGCTTTTCCGGGGGGGGGTACTATGCATTCAAAGAAAGGTTTATAATTCTTCCATCAGAATGCATGACTTCACGGCTTTTTTCTCGATGCCTAAAGGTCATATTTAAGTTGTGATGAGTGCGTTCAGTACAGCCCCCACATTTTCTGAAGTTATGGCACAGTACAACAGATTCGATCAACTGGCGGCAACTTGGTCAGAAAACTAAGCGGTACATTCATACGGAGCTTATGTACCACCAGGCGGGAAGTTTCACATAGACTTATCAGCAGCAATCAGGGCTACATGTTTATTGCAAAATGATTTTTCACAGTATACCACTTGGAAGGAAATTCAGGGGTTGGGCTGTGATCTGAGGGCTCGAAATGAAGCTTCTGGTGTCCAACTGAACGCAATGGGTTCTGCACGCCTTTCCTGTTTGGGTCTACGTGACTGTCCACATTCACACACATACACACACACGCAAGGGTATAGGTGGTTCATGTTTCCAGTGGTGAAGACGGACTTCCGGTTATCAGAATTATCTCTGAACTTGCGTGCTACACTTATCGGGTCAACCCCATCGACTACGTGTTATCTCAGTAAGAATCGTAAATGTGTTGAGTTCAGTAAAAATTTCAGGTGTAGATGTTTGTTGCTCTCCGACGCGGCTCTTCGCAAAGGGTCTTCACCTGCTCCATTTATTAAATTATTACCAGAGCTTTCCTATTGAGTGGTTTTATGAATGCTAGGCTGCAGTGTTCAGTACCTACTTATTGGTTTACTATACTTAAGTTGCTGATTATCTTGAAGACGGTGATGATGCTGGAAAAATCCAGGTAGTAATTCTGAGGTTCCCAAGTCAACCAGAATACACAGCATCAATGATCTTACTTGAAACTTTCCAAACGTTAAGCTTCCTTTGCACTGTTGCAATTCACAAATTCATCTGGGTTGACTAAGAATAAGTCAACAAGGTATTTGTTTCGCCTAATATACGTGAGCATGGGAAAATCGAACGAGGAGGTCAAACACAGAAGAGTTCTCAAACGATGATCTCTTGAGTCAATTTTGTTGTTCATCCACATGCACTGTGCCGACATTTGACCACTTTAAGTGTAGCTTCCACTTCAAAATATGATTCGAGTGATACAAACTTAGTTCTACTTTTAGCTGTATTAGACTGCTTGCACTCTATAATCATTCAAGTCTTCCGTAATTTATGTGAGGTACCTGAATCATCAGCCCAAAAAGTCAAATTTATGCTGAAATATGGTTCGTAAATCAATATTTTGATCTGGAGTCAATAGCTGTTCCAATGTAGTTATGTAAAAACGAGTGGAAAGCAGTTGAGCCAAGATTTTGAAGTCACAGAATTTTGAGCGAAATCACGCCGTATATCTGTCCTTACGATGATACTGATAGGTGGCTCTTTGAAGCCGACGGAAGGATGTACCATAACTAAAAGTCTATTGGATAACAGACACGTCTTATAACCCCCAAATCCTCTATGAACATTTTTAGTTCCAGAAGCGACTGTACGTCCAAATGCGAATTTTTCTTAACTTACCTTTTTTACCCCACGTTATGCACACACATACCGACAAATCCTATTTTAGCGCGGTAGGAATCCTTGGTCTATTCTGCTGTGCATTTCACAAACACGATTCTTAGGTCATCAGTAGTATGCTCAAAGATGCGACATGGCATAACGGACCTTTGTGTAACTGCATTCACGTATTATCTTAATACGACGCCACAGCACACTGTTGTATTGTTTGAATAGCTTATTCTTCCGAGATATTCGTCCACATATGCACAAAAACGCACTGTTCGGTTGTCACATTTCAATTTGAAGAGAACGCATGAAGTATTATTTTTAAAACCGAACTTCATGTACCTCAACTAAATTCGACCACCTGAAATGCTTGTGACATAGGTATTACCCAGGCGAATGAAGTAGTCACACATGACCTATAAAATTATTGCATCCTTGCAGTGTTCCCACTTTTCATTTGCATACCCGTGATTAGTTCGTCATCGCAGTAAAATGCAGAGCACGCTCTTTGGTATGAACCCCGTTCAGCCACGGTAGACGTGGTGTTATCCTACTCAACACCCCAAACTCATAGATCCACCAATTTTTTTTACATCCGTGTTCTGTCTACTCATTATTTATTTTCTTGTTCTTAAAAAATATTTGGATCCTTTATGCAACCAGCACTCATTGTTGTGGCACGCAAATTAGGAAGTTTTCGCAGCATGATCAGTTGGCTGTTTAGTGGATACCCGAGGAAACCTGGAAATTTTATTGGCTGCATAGACCGGAATTTCCGGCACGCCTCAGGTACATTGATGTCACTCATCAGACATTTAATACAGTCTCTGATGATAATCACTTGAATATAACAGGAGGGAAAGTTTTGTTTTCCACGTCAGTAGTATAGTTTGGAAAACCCGATGAACTGGTTTTGTCCACTCAGATCTAACTCCATCTTCCGGATAGCATTGGTCTCAGCAACCTTTAGAAGCCCCTGTTTGCTGAGCCGCAATCGTTATTTTGATGAGATGCTTGTCCTCTGTCAGATAGCGAAAAACTTCCAAGGTTAGCACTACAGAGTAAACCATTTTGAACATGTTTATTTGAGTTTCAGAATCCTTAATTACAATCAATACTAACTTAATTGGAGCGCAGTATGGCAGTTGACGCAGTGTTAACCCTCAGTATGTCGTATATCATGAAGTTGTACGTGTGTACACGAATCCTGTTGTTAGCAAGTCAGGATTCGGAAAACACCAGGTTGCCTTACCTCCGTTTCCATAAATCAAGTTCACCTATGGGATTTTTGACAACCCCACTCCAATATGGAAGAATATGACTTGTCGGCTAGACTACTAGTAAGTAAAAGAATCGCTTCGGTAAAGCGCGTGTTTTTGTGAAAAACCACCGAAACGATAACTGTAAGGCTTCGCAACACCAGTAACTGACTTGAATGCGTTATTTTCGCCAGTAAAACCCCAAAGCCATGCTATCAATCATTGTAGTGAATAGGTTGACTCATTAGGGGCGTCCTATTCAACGTGTTTTTTTATAGAATTAACATATGCTGAGCAACTTGCGAAAAAATTAAGTAATAAAAAGGGTTGAACAAGCCCAGCCAAAATTGTAAAAGACACAGTACATTCTAAGAAAAGCCTTGCATAGTACCTTTTGCTTTAGTTTCACATGAAAATAGCTCTTGTTTCAAAGAGCGGGCATAGCGTCGACAGTCGAAGTGCCAAAAACAAGAAAAATGTTTATTTTGAAAGCTGTATTACCCGTTCTTTTAGAGACACTGAACTGCGGCACTAAAAGTCATTAATCTTAAATTAAGCTTAAGTTATCACGTTGAAGGGGGGTGATTAAGCAATCACTTTATTACATAAAGACCTACCATACAGAAATGTTGAACATTTTACTCAGAATTATCCAACGTTTTACCTCGCACAGACTTGGGTGATTCATGTGGTGTAGAATATATAGAAGAGTCACCAATCATGCTTGGAAAGTGCCTCGGTGGAGGTGGGAGAGGTGGTGGAGATCGATTTGCCGACCATCGCTTACTGCTCATCACTGGGGTGTTGTGTGGGAGCTGGTGGACAGCAGTTCTTGGTCTGGGGCGGCAGGGATGTCTTGACCTTGGAGAATACGTCAGTAGTACTGTTGAATTACATGGCTCGATGAAAGCGCTCTGATTTGTTGGTATATGCAAACTATTGTGTTCTCGTGTGAATTTAAAACCAGCCATCCTGGCGGCCATTGGGGAAGGGTAAGGCGAAGGATTCGAACGATACGAACGTGTCCTTCTAGGGCTGAGTAAATATCTGGGCACTTTCCGATTTCCATGTATGACCGCATCTGACAGGGTATGTGACGTTGGGAGAGGTGAGATATTCTGACTTGTTTCTTCTTCATCTGAAGGAACACATGGTAAATATGCCGTATGTGGTTTGCTTTCCGCAGCGAGGATGACCGTATTACGGTTAGAGATTTGATCACATATTTCGGTGACATTCCTTTCAGATATATTTGAACACGTATCGTCTGAAGCAGAGCTTGAATCTTGGATTTCTTCGTAATTACCGGTGGGTAACACAAGTTTAGGACGATATGCTCTGAGCATGAAAAGAAACAATTGAAGTATCACCTCTCCACACAATATAATTAGTTCCAAGCATAGCCAGACCAATCGCGATGGCCATAAATCTGGAGAAATAATACTGGTATTCTGGTTGCTCTCGTTATTTAATAAACAGTGAATTCTGTTCAACGTGCTGATAGATGCAAATGGTAGCCAGGATAGAGTATGAATGGTTCCCAAAGCAAGGATCAAAATATAATCCCTCATCAAAGCCATGCTACAGTATGAGACAGCTGCTGTGTATACTGCCGGGGTCACTGGTTCATCAAGGTCGTGCAAAAGATGACGTTTTAAACAAAGTTGAAATAAGGTTGTTCTGAAACACAAAAGACCAGTGCTACCGATAAGAAGACAGGTTTGAATAACAAATCCAAGTGTTGCCAAACTGTACTCATATAATGCTTTCCCAGACCTGTTCCGTAAAATCCAAATTTTTGAAGCAACTTTTTCAGTGCCCTCAGGAACAGGAACCAACTGATAGGCCCATAACTGTGGCAAACATAGAGCAAGTGACACACTGATCATAAAGGCAGTTATAATGAATAGTTGAAATACTGATTTGATGGTTTCTTTTTGTGACATTCTTGAGCTGGCGGCACTAGCATTCAGCACATGAGCCAAAAGCTCAACAGTGTCTGTGATTTTCCATGTCTTTTGTTGTTCATTAAAGTTCACACCTCTTTCTTCGTACCCACAGCAACAGGCCGCATCGTTTCGGACTTCATCACGCTGACCTTGTTTGAAGAATACCACTCGGTCAATTCGATCTTGACAGCTTGTCTGGTGAAATAAATTAAGGTGATGTTCTTCTGCCAAAGCAACACAATGAGGTTGTTCGTCATTATCAGCAAAATGCCTCGCGGATCGCGGATCAGTCGGAGTACAAATTCCGTGAACCATTTTGCGAAACATATTTTCGATGCGTCTAAAATAGGTAATCGTTTCTGAATCGGGGTGAGCAAGTGTCAACCTATTCAAAATTCCAAAACGGTCAATCATAATCCACGCAATAAACCAGCCAATGGACAGTCGCAAAGACGCTTCAACGGTCAGTATTGCTGGAAGTTTTGTCACAAAACCTGGTGTCTGGTCCATTTCACCCGACCCTGTTAAATTCATCTTGGGAGACAGCGCCGGACCATTAAGGTATGGTTGCTGTTCCACACCGGTATGATTCAATGGAATATATCGAGTCAGGACAGCCAGCCATGTCAGCGTGGCTCTGATACTTGTAAGCACGAAATAAACGATCAGCTGATGTGAAAACCGGGCTTTGTGCGGAGGCGAGCACAGGAAGTCTGAATGACAGACGTCAATTTTCACCTCGTGTACTGCGTTCGCGAGGGCTAAGAATAGAGTGAGTACAGGTAGTAATGGGAGGGCGAAATACATTACAACTTGGAGATTTCGTTGATTTGAATCAATTTGTTCACCCGTTTCATAGAATATTTTTGTCTCTTGAAGCAATCTGTTGTTCCAGAACTGGGAAAGATCTAACGGCCTGGCGGGTTTCAGTAGCCAGTCCCGCGTTAACAATCCAGAGTCTGAAAAAGTCCAGTTTTGGCATACAGGTAATGTAGTCATTCGGTATTCGGTTAATCCCACAAATTCTGCCCAAGTGAAGCGTATTCTAACATGCCTTCCCGAATTTCACCAAAACGTTGGAAAACCAATCGACAACCTTGTCAATCTTGCGTGGCTGTTGACCAATCAGAGGTCGTTTCCATCATGTGAGACAAAAGAAACCGACATTGTAGACCAACCAAGCAATGATGTAGCTCAGCCATCGTTTCATTACAACAGGGTTTCAAAAAGGATTTACAACTAGGAAAAACACTAAATATCTCCTCATCTGTGCACTGAAATTGCATTATAAGTTTACAGAGCTGCTTAAAATAGTAAGCAGGTGAGGTATACCCTTCTTGACAAAGTTTAGTTTCGCAATAATAAAAGGACAATTAGCTTGAAGGAACTGTCTTGGATCACATATCTGTCCATTAGGCTCGATGAAGCATCATATTTCCGCCTTATATCCGACACTCATAAGTAAGTCCACCTTCCAACCAACTCACCGTAGATCAACTCTTTAGGATGCGAGTCATGTTTTTTCGGTCACAGCATGTTTTAACAACTGAATGGCTAACGCGTGATTTGAGTAGTTCGTTGCTTACTTACTATTCCAACTGCACTGGTTCTGAAAACAGACTGGAGAGATGAAACCTCTGGGTCACCAGTATTGTCGTTTATTGCAAAACGATGGTCTGGAGGAATTAATGTGCTACGATGCGTTGATGCGCTGCAACAACTTATTTACTGGGAAGTATTGAGCCACGAAACGCCTAACGCATTTCACTACCAAATATCAGCTGTCAGAGTTTAGTGTGAGGACCCACATATTAAGCGAAGCAATTTCACTAAAATACTAGTCACATGCTACAGCATGGTTCAGTGTGATCACACACAGCATGGTAAAGGTACAATTTCTCATTGAATTCTTCCTCTGTAAACATCACAAATGCTTGTCAGTATTAAGTCCTTGTCGTTTCTTTCCATCGTTGGATGGAAAGAAGCTTACTAACTTTAGAGCACAATACTTTTCCAGTAAACCGTTGTGTTGTGCTCCCTTATGGCGAAACGTGATTATGCATCATGTACTTTACAATTTTTCATAGAAGTGCAGGAAGTGTTTCCTTAATCCACTAATTATGCTCTTCAAATGATACTCGTTTTTTTCACGTGCAAAATAACCACAATTTGCAATGAGTGTTTAGAGGTGTTCTGATAACAAAAGAGGTGACAAACTCTCCTAGTCGGCTGCGAACATGCGAAAGGTGAATAAGTTTTTATAAACCAACGAACAACCCACTGCTTCTAACTCCAGCGAAGATTGCACCGCAATTTAGCAACTAAAAAACAGCAGCATAAACTTAATTCGGTCAACAGAAGTGGCAAAACTCTGTGTTATCAGAGTGGAAGTAAGTATAACAGCTAGATCCGGGTAAATCAAGTCCATTCACGCAACCCGACTGGCTCACAAAGTCTTCTACCAAATTCCGAATTTGCCTGAAATGAATGACCGACTACTCAGAGCAAAAAAGAATGCCAATTAAGTCGGATAATTTATCCAACAGGCTCACGAAACACACTTAGAGCTCTGGAGGGTTGAATTTTACCCACAGCTGTGACAATGGTTCTTCACTTGTTTGACCCATTTCTCTGACCTGTGTGAAGTTCTAGCAATCAACTCGGCCTATCTGGCATCCAGATCTTCTTACCCTCACCTTTTCTTACCCATAAACAACTGTTTTCCAGGTCTTTAGCTGTAAAGCATACCCTATCCTGTGAGAGAAAGCTTCAGGGTTAATTTTACAGGATTTGGATGTAGAATCTCATCGGAACCTTCCAAATCCATCAATACTGTACTCGGTTCAATGATTTCTTACCCCAACAACGATGAACATTGATGAACAATGCTTAACAGAAAGCCCGGAGAGCACAAAATAGTATCGTATTCTTCCTTAGCGGCCCTAACAATCTATGGACAGAAATGTGCACGGCCGCAGCAAACCACACATCCATCCTGTTGCACAAATCACGCCCTAAGACCAATTTAGATAGCACCGATAAACAAACTACAGAAACTTCAGAAAAGGATTACTCGAGCAAATCAGCAGACATAAAGATAGAGCTGTTTCGTTGTTTAGTAATATGACGAACCCCGTCAATAAGAAGAGCAAATGAGGATGATGCATTTCACAAAATGTAGAGGCAAATCACCAAAATATTTCTAAGGGGTTAGAGAATAGAGAACCTGCAGTCTTGATTCCAATAGTAGTTATTGGTGTCATGGCCACATAGCATTAGCAGCTATGTGCATATGAGAAAAAAAAAATCCATTGCAAATCGATTTTCAAGTGAGGACTAATCAAGACCTTGGCTTTTATTCTATTTTAGATATTCGGTCGTTCCAGATTTTACCAGCTTTTGATTGCCGCTTTGTTCTACTTAAAAATGTTGACGCTTCACAGAAATTTCCTCAGGGCATAAACAGCAATATTACGAAGAGATGTATTTCCGTTTTCGGGTACTCATGTTGCTGCCTGTGTCGAGCTGAAATAAACAGTGTTTCATGTATATCCCGTACAGCCAGAGGACTGCCGATCTGCTGTACTTAACTAAACAGGCCTCCAATCACCCTTAATTAACTCAGAAATTTTGACCCACATAGAGCTCGCTGTTTATCCGACTCCATAATCCAGTATTAGTTGTATCGGTGCGCACTTCTGACCGAATCAATTGTGATAGAGCTCCATAGCACCCATTCCTGTCAGACATAACGCAAGGCAAAATTGTTTGGCAGTCCACTAGGCTTTCGCCCCATTAGGTAACCTTATATTGCAACATGAATCAGAGTCCTACACAACTGACAAAACGGCTCAGTTGCAGATTAATCTAGTGTTAACATGAGAATCCCATAAACAATGGGCTTATTTGGGTCTCAGTGTTATTTATCAAAATGATTGGTTTTATTCGCAAGTGTTCTAGTCAATCTAACATCACAAGATGACTTTCAAACTGGAAATTAAAGTGCTTTTAACACATGGACTTAATGAGCTATTTATCACGTGAACACTACGCGTCAGGACTAGGTTAGTCAAGATCTCAACGAGCAGAACATGAGAAATCTAGGTTCCACCAAGTCTTTTTTCAAAAAGGAAACTACTCACATGGTTGTTGAAAACTCTTCGACAGTTCACGACCGGATTCGTCTTTCTTGGGGGTCATCAGGTAGGCAAAGTCCTTCGAGTTTCCATCGACCTTATGTTCTACTTGAACCCGAATTGGACCGTTTTCGAGAAATACACTCATTTGCAAATCAATTTGTTTTCCACGAGAGACTCAAAAGAATTTCTCGTTGATGATATTCTACAACTGAATGTGCTGCACACAGGCCGCCTCATGTTTCAGTTGGCACCATACTCGAGATATCGCAGTATATGTTAATAGAGGATACTACTCAAAAGGCTGCTGAAAACTCTTTCAAGTCTTTTGTAATGTGTGGATAGGCTATATTTGTCTTCTGGTGATAAAGCAGCTATCGAGTTTTGAGGTAATGCACGGTTTTAGTGGAAGTCCCCTGTTTAAATTTTTCAGCGGGCATGAAAAATCTACGCAAGGAGGCTAAAATACCATTAGGGTTTGCTTTTTTCTAATGGCAGAATTTGGGAAGATGAGTACTGTTAGGTGACTGCTAGTTCATTGAGCTAGGATGACGTAGTTGAGGGATTGTGAGAAACGCTCAGCGTTTCAGCCAAAAAAAGTCAGATGTTTCGAGGGGTATTCTGACTTACAAAGACCGTCTTGGTAGTTCTCAGCCTAGAAAACATTTTCAAGACAAATTTTCTCAGGCTATCAGACGACGAAATTATTTTCCCCTTGATCTTATTTTCTTACGCCAGTTCAAAATCCGTGTTGGTTACTCATGCATCAGAATGGAGCTAAATTGGCTCCACAGAAATTTTGAGTACGACCCTGTCGCATGATGTAAACCACTTATTCGCATATATGACAGAATATACACTTACGTAATACCACGTACTACTATGCTTCGGGGATTAATTGGCTTGAGGAAAGAAGTTGCTCATGGCGGCGAAAACGGTCCTCATGTTTGTCTTCGTTCCTCAACGCTCGTAGCTGCCAAACTGACTCATATGTATTCTTCAGACTTTAGCTCGCAGTTTTTGAGACGCAGCAGTCATTGCGTTTACTGGAACATGGTACACGCATACTGTAATTGACTATCGTCTAAAAAAACCAAACGACGTTAAAGTAAGCATTCTTCCAACCGACCGAAGTGGATACCATTGCGGATATTACCATCTTGTCCTGTTTACGGGAACATATCAACTAACGTAAGAACATTTTCGTGGACAAATACTCAGACTGAAGCCAGGCGGGTAGGTTTTCATTGTAATTTCTTAGCATTTCTCATAGAATATCGAATGATGCACCCGTCCGCACCGAACTGTTGCAAAGGACATGAACAGAAAAATTGCCATGTAATTTTCACGGTCAGTACCATTTCCAGAATGATATGATAAATATTGAGGTCTTTCACTGAACCAAGCGTGCTAACTAAAACCACCAATGTATTCTACTTAAATAAGATGAGGATACATCAAAAAGCGTTTGTATTTAGGTTGTTCTAATAGTCTAGTTAGTTGTTGTTTTTGGTGGCTGTTGCTCCAATCGTTGGCCTGGAAAGCTTGCATTCACAAGTTCCCTTACTATGCAAGCAGACTTCAAAACTGTACACGGAACCTGTGAATCAAATAGCTGAAGAGATCAAGTAAGCCCATAGTTCAGCGGATATCTGTATCTGTAGAGTACATAACTCTGCAAAAGGTGAGTAAGGAAATTAGAGGGATTATCACAAACGAAAACTTTGAAATATTCAAAAATAAGAAGAAACAAAGCATAACACAGGAGGGCTTCTACATGAGCTACTGGAGACAAAGAGAGGAAACCGATAAAAACAGGGATACTAAATGGATCGCCAAGATAAGAGGGAGGTAGTGCAAAATTTTACGTGGAGGGACATTTAAAAGACTAACCAGAGCAAATGAGGAAATTCTAAAAGGAAGGTATTCAACAGAATAATCAGTTACAAAATAGCCGCATTTCAACCTAAGCATTACCTGAAAAGGACCCAGCAGAGCACTGAGGATGACTTTTTGTGCAATGACGGAACAAGCTAACTGATACGCTGGGTACCTGACCAGCTTTAGATTTAAATGGTTCACACTGGCACGTACTTTATCGTTTTTTAACCGCGATGCAATTTTGAACCTAGTCTGGATATTTTAAAAAGCAGATGTTGTAGTGGTATGTTTCTATTTTGGTTGGTTGGACAAATACACATGTGAACAGCAGAAACGTTTCTAGAATCAGCACAACTGTTATATAGTTTAACGATATGAGAATATCCAACTACTCTAAAGGCTGGAGGGCCGCTGATGGAGCAGCATAAATTTCGCTTTGGGCTGGGTGCCCTAATAAGTCATGGAAGTGACAACTTTTTAATATATAGATCATGGTTTCAGCTAATCTGTTGACACACTCAAGATGTGGATGGGTCAGCAATTGTGGCGTGTGTGTCCTATGTGAACGCAGCAAACCTGTCTCACAGCCTTCTGACTGTATTTCAACAGATTCAACTTATGCTGGCTGCAATGCGCCGTCATAATGGTAACTGCCAGAACTTTGCGTTTGTCCAAAGTAAACATTCTGAGCACGGTCCAACTGATGTATCTCAATTTAGAATTGTATTGATGACTGTATGGTGCGAAGGCATTTTGAAATCTGACGTGGGTTTTCATCTTTCAGGTGAAGTCATTGCAAGCTGTCCCATCGTTTATGGGTCGTCAGTGGATCGGCGGTGCGTCTGACAAGCCCCAAGAAAGCTTCAAACCATGCGCGTCTCGGTTTCCGGCTGAAAATTATACCATTTGGATAAAAATGCCGATTGATGTTGCAATTAACTGCAGGTTTAAAGTAGTTTGGCGCCAACTCTGTCTCAGGCACGCAATTAGCGGCAAGTAATCACTTAATCACTAGATCATGCACCGGCGTTTTCCTCGGCGAAATGTTCATGTGGCATGTGGGTTATTTCCATTTCTTGGCACATTTCCTCCTGTATCGTTGGCAGACCATTCCCCGGACGAACGACGTGGGACTCAGCTGCAAGACGGAAGAAAGTGGGTTCAAATCTTTCTTGAACTTCAAGCAGTCTTTTGGTGTGCAGCATGGCTTCAAGTCTCCAAAGTTATAATGAACAATGTTAATTAATTGGTGACCCACTATGTTAGTTTTTGGCTTTATTTTATATTACAAATCGGACGTTATGCTTATTGACGCCACAATATTACCGCATCAAAGGATACTATCAAAGTATTGAAAAGGTTCAGGAATGGCACATTCGCTATGCCACCGTACAAAGTTCCAGATGGGGTGAACAAACTCCCACTGCGTAGGTTCATAGTGACACCATCGAGACATTGAAACCACATTGTTTTCAACATTGAATTAAGTGAGTACGTCATTTTTCATTTGTTGCATTCTATAGAAAATAAATTGAGAGAGCTTTATTGTAAACGGAATTGATCAAAGGCAATAAAATTAAACTAGCTGAGAAAATTGCAACCAGTGTATTTTTGTATGCTCTGTTAGCACTTGAGCCATCCGGAGAGGGCATTCAGTCATGAGTGGATTCTACTAACCGCGTTGTTGATTTTCGGGTTTCATCTGGAGCAACGATATCCGGTTGAAATGCTGGTCCACTACCCAGTTCAGGTGTCGGATGTGCCTTCCAAGTCTACCGTTTTACTCTAACCCTACCAGCCATTTGTATCCATCACAACAGCTTACAGTCACAGTTAACAGTGCTTCCGGTTCTCGTCTGTGAAACTTATTCTCCTTAGTTCTGTGTGCACGCATTCCAATCTACTTCGAGTCCGAGTTGATAACATTCTGTTAATTACAGAAGTAGAGATTTATATCAAACCTCAGCCTTTTAAGGACGCAAGTAATCTGCATTGTTATTGCGTCTGTTTATATCTCTAGCTGTTTGTATTCCTGTTTCAAACAGATGAGAGTAGGGGTGAATTTATGGCAAATAGAGTTTTCCTCAATTAATCAACTGTCACCGAACTTCAAAGGACGTAACATTCTTTTTCTGGGGCACCTCGGTCTTCCTTCACCAGAAAGTCAACACGTCCATGACATTAATGTGTGTATGCATGTTTGAACGAGTAACAACCGAATAGGAAACGTGCTTTGTGGTTTGTATGGCGGAATTTCACATTCTTCACTCTAAAGAAGTTACTTCTGCAGATACATGTTCAGGTTAGCACAGAAACGACGACTGCGCCTCGTAAAGTGTGTAGAATTTACTCCTGAATTCTAAATATTTATGCTCAATACCTCACTCCCTTAATGCATGTTTATGACTGTCTGTCTGATTATAGATTTTTCTCCCACGTTAAGTCTAATTTCTTCTCCGTTGGTATTAGTAACGCGCATTAACCGTAAAACTGATAACTTCAAGGTCCCTGTCTCTATTTCGATCACCTGATGAAACTCTCAGATGGCGACATTCGCAGTGACTTGTTTTAAAGGTCTCGACTAATACATGTGATGAGTTAAGCTTGGGATCATTGGTAGGGATTATAATTCAAAGAATACACTTCCACCGTATGCAAGTGCAGTGAGAGGAATTTGACGGTCTTATTGAGCAGAGGTCTTTCATGGAACGCTGTCTTTAAACTAAATATAGGAAATGGTCCGTCTTAGAATAAAAATTTTATATTATACACCACATGGCACTAAATCTTTTCAACACCTTTGAGCTGATTTGGGCCCGGGACTCCCGTATAGAACTTTAATCAAGCGACACTCCCAGGGACATATTCTATCTACCAAGCTCAAGCCTGCCAGCTGGGTCCCCCGTCAACGTGGATAACAAAACATTTGGCTCCCTGTAAAGTTTTTAAGCCTAAACTTTACGGCTGATTTACCACACCAATATTTAATAGGTTGTTACGAGAGACTTACTACTAGCCTTGGGAGATTTCAACTGTAAGATTTGAACTACTGACTTAAATTTGAAGTCTGGACTGTGAATTTCAGGTTACGGTTGGAGCGAGAAGAATACATTCAAAGTACTTCATTTTGCACATCAACAGTCCGATCGGAGGAAAGGAGGCGGTTCGAGTCTACCTCAACTGTACGTTTTCTTTCATACGGCTATATTTGCTTGTACTTTTTATTTCGTCCAGCAGCGTTTCTCAAATAATTTCATTACCTGGTTAGTGAACGACACTGAGGTTTCAGATATTGATCGCGAATGTCAAGTTTGTAAACCTTGGTTATCGTAAACCACCAACTTTTCTGTTTCAGGACATAATTCTCATCGCCAGGTTTTGACAATGAATTGGCAACATCTGCTTTGAGCAGCTGATATACACGTAAGGACAGTTCACTTGGTCTAAACTGAGCTTGCCTAAGATATGATCATCTGGTTTCGAACAAACTATCTCACCTGCCAGTCTTTTCACCTATATCAAAAACTGCGGGAAATTCGTGGAAGAACTGAGCAGCAAATTAAACTATTTACGAACCTCGAGCCCGTAAATACTGGTTAAGATACAAATAACGGTCAACGAATTTCAGAAATAAGCAGTGCCATATTTTTGTATTGTCCTCGGATGATTTTCACACCTGTTAGTTTATTTCATTGGAAATACTAATTTTATGGATAAGAACAAAGTTGGTACATAACTTTCGGCTGATACATTGGAGAATTTTTGCAAAACAAACTGTGAATTCATTTTTCTTAGGAAAGTCTTTCTTCCAGAATATTCCAGACATTTGAACAATACACCCAAGTTCTGTTTATGACAGGTGGCTGTCCGCAAGTCCAGATCTGTGTGTGCATTCAAGACAGCTACTGAGAGTACACATACACAGTTCTGCTGAAAAAAGATGATTTGCCTGGTAATGGAACACAGCAGCCTAAATTGGCAAAAATGCTAATTACTTCTTTGTTGTTTTTAGAGACGCCACGAAGTTAGCGTTTATTGCGTTTGGTTGTGCATGAATAGCCTGTGACTACAGGTCATTAGGGAACGTGTGGGCAACTGTGAGCCTACGGAGGCATTTACTAAAATGCAGCGAGTTTCGGAATGTTGGGATTTTTATGCGGGCAAAATCAAAGTTCACAAACAAATATAGGTTGTACAATCGTCATCCTATCCGCAGTGGAGATAGTTTGGGCAAGGTAAATCGAGATACATTCATTCTACACAAGGGACTCAAAATCACGGCTTTGTGTTGTCTGGGATGTGCTCGGTTCATAAATAATCAGACTAAGCTTCACAAATCGCATTCTCTGTAAGTCAACCTGTTTCACTGTGTGGGACTAGCTTTGCTACGGCTATACGGACAAAAAATGCTGAACACCTGGTAAAGTAGAGCCTCGCGGGTCAAAATTATAGAAAGACAATGCGATAATGTACGGATACTAGAATGTCACATGGTATGGACTAGTTTGTTACCGTCACTGACAATGTGTAAGTGCGATTTCAGCCTTGTTGTTTGTATTACATTAGGTTTTTACTAAGAACCTGGGTTATTTTTGGTGTAATTTGTTTGTCTTACGAGGTTCACGGTGTTAAACACAGTTAAATCATCATGTACAGGGAAAAGTATACAAATTTACAACACATGTAAAGACACAAAATAAATCGGCTTTCAGTTTTTTGTTTCCTTATGTATCACTCCGTGAGTCTTGAAGTGTCTTGAGCTGGGCCAGAGAATAATGACCGTGGAAGATTTTGTCTGTATCATGGAAACTACTTTTGGAAAAACTATGGTGAATCTCAGGCGCAAAATGCTGGGGGCAAGCACGCAATTAATAGGTCCATTCAGATCTAAACAAACACACTCGGCTCTGGTGTATTTAACTAGTCGCGTTGCACTATTTTCAAAGACAACTACGAATGAATTTAATTCCATACTCATGTTTTACTAGCCTCAGCAAACTTTTCACAATCACGTGCATATTTTTGAAGACTTCCACCTCTCATTTGCATTCGCTCAAAAAGAAAAACTTCAGATCTGATTACAGTGAATTGAAACAAGTTTTGTTACAAGACCTCGGGGCAACACACATGCGTAACTTTCCTCGAGAGCAGTCTACCTGAACAGAACTCAGGAGTTCCTCCTGTTTAGTTGTAGGGAGCCGGCGCATCCACACAAGTGTCTACAACTTTAAACTCCCTATCAAGCGCTGCTGGATGTTATCCGTAATTACGTTCCAGGCGTATAGAGAAAAAAGCTGTGTTCTAGCAGTACCCTGTGCGATAATAAAGCCAGCAGGCCAGTATTAACGGCCACGGACATAACTTAACGACCAATGTGGCTAGCACTAAACGACAAAATGTGGCTAAGACAACTGACGTCAACCCCATCACCCCTACGTTTTCCTCTTATCCACAGAAACAATACCTGTTATGTCATGGAGAAAATTTTCAAAGTTCATAGAATAGGCATTTATCACCGGGTGCACTACACAAATCAACGGTGCATTTATCACTACAAAGACAGGATAGAACCATCTACCTCCACCTGCCGTGTATAACGGTATCGTGCCGCAAACAAGAATCAGAATATTATCGCTCCAAATCACTTTGGATGGGTGAACGCAGCACTCCAGAATCTCACCACAAGACCCAGAATACCCAGCTGAGCTGAAACAAAGTTCAGCTATCGTGTCAGTAGAAAATCACGAAGATGATTTTTATTTTTCAGAACCAATACAACCACCTCAATCCCGATTAAACAGCAACAGGAGCCGTCGACAAACAGTTTCGGTCCCATGAAATGCTTTTAGCTGGGGTTGGAGAGGTAATAATATTTTCGGCAGTTAGAGTCAATCATTTCGTTCTCCATTATGGCTTTCGGATTCACAGGTGGATGAAAAGTCGAAAGTGACAAAGATATTCAGCCGGTTACAATAATATAATGGAAAACATGACCGTTCCAATAATTCTACCATTATGTGATGAAGAAAATCCCGGCGTATTCTCACGCTTAGTTACCCACACTAAACATATTTCATTTTACTTACGCAAGAAAGGACTTACGCGATGTATTTTTGCTTGGACCGATTTTCTGTCTTT